GCGGCTTTTGTTATTTGAAGGGATTTTAACAAAATACTAACAGGGTTGAAAGTGATTTTGAAGAAAGGAAGAACATAGAAATTGTTTAATAATTAAAACAATATTCACAAGAAAACATCTTTTGTTTGAAACCTTTTGATTAGGAGACATGACAAACAAATGTCCATTTAAAATTATAAAATTCCCTTCTTTTTTTCCTTTTTGTGGAACAGTAACTGACAAGGGGAAAGTAAATAATATGATCTTTTAATATTGTGAGATTCATATTTTACCCAGTAGGCCTTTATTTAAGACATATTTGATGGGAATATGAAAATATGCTGCATATTATTAGTCCCGTCCAATTTCCTTTAATTTCTTTTCAAATTGGTGGAATGGGAAATATCAGCTTTTGAGACTTATTTAATTATGATTTCGACCATATTATTTTGTACTGTAAGTCTTTTTTAATTAGCTGGGCCAAAAAATACAAAATAAATAAAGTTATATATAGCATGATTTTATGATACAAAATTTGGCAAACGGATTTTCAGTCATGTTGAAATATAATATAGATATTATATAAATATATGTCTGGAAGTTGCCAACATGGTCCCAGAGTAAATTGACTTGCCTCAGAAGGCTTTGCTTTAACACAAGTATTACATTATTACCTCATGAACCTCTGCAGTTCCATTAAGAACCTCTAGGGGTTTGTGAACACCTACTTCCGACCCTGACCTAGACCTCTGAATGGAAAGCAGAGGTGCCAGCGAAGAGAGAGACACACAGAGAGAGAGAGCCAGCTGCCACATGTCCGCTATTAGCTAAGTGCTGGTGTTTATGGTCTGCACTGTGTTGCTTTTAAGTGTAGATTATGTCACTAACCAGCTCGAGATGGGGAAGCACTTCACACTGGGGTAAACAGTAACCAGGCAATGAAAGGCCGTCCATTGGCGTGACCCTCAGCCGCGAGGAGCACGCAAGACTTGGCCATTCCCATACGGAAAAAATGTCACTCCTAAAGAGCACAACTGCATTGGCCTCTGGAAAGAGACCATTTTATAATGTTGAATTAAGAAAATGGATTCTAGAGGGTAAATAACATTATTTGAAATAGATATCTTTTAGAATATTATAAATGTCTTTACTGTTACTTTTGATCAATCTCGCTAAATAAAAGTATTCATATCTTTAAAAAAAATGTTTTAATGGTACACTATAAAAAAATTCCATAAAATTTATGGTAAAAAAACGGCAGCTGTGGTTGCCGGAATTTTAGCGTAAAAAATACGGTAGCAACATTTTAGGTTTTACGGTTTTAACTTAAATTTACAGTTAAATACCGTAATTTCATTAACTGATATCATGTTAATATACCAACTTATTGAAGTACTGAAATCTGTTTTGTACCTTTGTAATACACTGATAACCATCAAATGCAGGTGGTGATGAGAAAGTACAGTCTTTTACCGTTAAATTCACAGTCATTTTTTACAGTGTAGTGTTTTTGTAAAATATTTGTAGTTTTCCATTGATTTGAGATTTCATTCATGTCGGGCGGGTTACACACTGATTATTGTTCCTCTTTGTTGGATACAGGGTAAAAGCTCCACACAGACACAGCACACAGTCCATTCCAGGCCGTACCAAGAGGCATTTTTGTGTTTTTGCGTGACTGAAGTTCATATAAAAAGACTTTGTCTCATAATTTGCTTGGTTTGGATGGCGTCCATCAGCGAGGGGGTTTTATTTGGTGCTTTTGGTGTCACGGACTGAACCTTCGCTAACAAACCTCTTTCAATATGGTTCACATTCCTCAACCCATACTAAATGCACCATGAATCATCTGTCATCATAATCATAGACTACAGGCTATTGATCTATATAAACACACTTGCATCCTCAGGGGCTTGATTTCTGTCACATTCACAAACTCAGACCACTGACAAAATGAATGCTGAAACCATAAACAATTGAAAGCGCTAGATGGAAAACTCTAATTTCTCTTGCTCCTGAATCTATGTGGCAGACTTCCATTTGCTAACCATTAAATAAGCCAGATTGAGATCATCTTCCAAACCGATGTCTGCCTGTCCTCCACTGAAGTTCAAACCACACAGTTGTTGAGTTGAATGGATTTATAGCTGCTGCGTTTAAGGCTCATCAAATGAAACGGGGGAAAAAGTGTCTTACGAGAAGTCAACACTTCTCACAAGCCATTTTACTGACGCATCTGACACGTTTCTGAATGAGACCGGATATTCAACGTGATTTCAAGTGGAACAATGAATTGTGCCCAAAAAGAGCAGGAACATGCATTGAGAAAGTAAATAGGGTCCATTTTGATGTCTGTTGACTTTAGCAGTCGCAATCATGCATGCAGAATTCCAACTGAAACAAGGAACGTTGACAGACACAGCAAATGTGTCATCAACATCATAAATCATTTTTGATGATGTTCATTCGGCCAACACAAACGCTTCAGTTCATGGGCCAAAACCTTCCAGTCCACGAGTGCTACAACACATCTTGGCGTTCATAACCTGCATGTCCCTTCACTTTTGTTAACCCAAAATCTTTAAGTTCAGAGGGGCCCTCGTGAAAAAAAAGAAATGCACTTAATAGTACTTAATGCACATTTGTAGTGTGCTTCAAATATTAAAAGTCTGTTTTTAAAACACTGTACTTGCAGATAATGTAATATTAATTAATTAAAAGGCCACTTAAGTGTACTTAAAGCGTTTCATGACTGTTTCTTAACGCACTTAAGTACACTTTTAAAAAGTGCACTTTGTAATGATGTCAACTTTGAGTTTTTATTTTAAAGTACATTGTAAATCATTGTTTTAATAATCTGTTGTTGTGCTTTAATGATGTACACTGTTATTTTAGTATCATTGAGATTATAGTTTTATTATAGAGTATTATAAATGTATTAATATTTTGAATCAGTTTTTATTTTTTATTTTCAGTTTTCATTTTAATTTTTAGTTTGTTTTAGTAATTTTGTTCTGTTTCCCACCGCCACCATGGGCCACTCGATCCACAACGTTAACATCAGCAAACCGCTCACCCACACAACGCCATACACGCTGTCTGCCATCTGCCCTATATATATGTGTGTGTGTGTGTGTATGTATGTATGTATATACAGTATAAATATATACCCTGATTTGGATGTTGACTAACATACTAAATCACATGTAAAATAAAAAAGGTTTTATGTGTGTGTGTGTGTGTGTGTGTGTGTGTGTGTGTGTGTGTGTGTGTGTGTGTGT